GAATAATATATGCGCCGTAGGCGTAGTAAGAGCATATTTGTCATCCAGGGTGCATGCATCTAGCAATAGGAGCTCGCACACCGGATATTGGTTATCAAGGAAGGCCATAATCGTGTCGTGCAAGCTCTCGTCGATGTTGCAATTTTAGTGCGCTGCAGTATGCTTTTCTCTATATGCTCAAATGTCGCGTATATATTCCAGTCATATACCGAGAGAAATTTCCTGTGCATGTTTCACGATTCTTATATACTGTAAAAAATCGCGCGCGTTTAATAATAGCAATTCTTTTTTATTTACGATATTGACGTTGTGTTAAATGAGATTTATCTGTGTAATATATTGTAATTTCGTTCAGTTAAATATTCTCGGGAAAAAAGCAAAATTAAAACATTGAAAAAAAAAGAAATTACAAAGCTAAAAAATCGCGCAATTTTTCGATATAATAATATAGTTACAATAAAATTATACATTATATGATGATAAGATATTCCGTGACGCGAAATCGATTCTTTGACATACAAATAGTTTGTATTGTAGAGAAAGAGAGAGAGGGGGAAGGAGGAGAGAGAGAATATTCGAATGTCAACCAATAGATCTGAGCTTTTGGCCTCGGAATATATGAAGCCCGAGACGAAATATCCTCCGAAATATTCGTAGAAAGGCAAGACAAAGCTTATGCTGCATCAGTCGATATAGGGCACAGATGTCGGTGACACAGAACCGCAGCAATTGGCGCATTTCGTCGACTGTAGCGTGGCAAGGTAAGAAGCTTTGCTTGAGTTATCGATACAACGTACCGTATAAATGTCCTAACGATCTCTTTGTTTTTGAACGCGAACCTAACGAGAAATCCAGAAGCTCTCTGCCGTTTGATCCCTGTCTGGGTCTGCAGATACGAGTAATAATGTTAAACCGACTTTTACGTAGCAAGTTATTTATATTGGATAAAATCAGATTCAACTTTGTTTCTCGAGTCATATAATACACGTATTTATTTTTACTTATCTATAACAAGACGCTTCAAATTTCGTACACTTTTTATTTAACTGGCGTTTAATTTATTTATTCCAAATCAGATTCAACTTTGTTTCTCGAGACATATAATACACGTATTTATTTTTACTTATCTATAACAAGACGCTTCAAATTTCGTACACTTTTTATTTAACTGGCGTTTAATTTATTTATTCCAAATAAAGGTTTTAATTTTTGAAATCTAATTTTTGCTAAAATACACACGCAATGATACATTTTCAAAGTAGAATGTAATGCTTTTTATAAATATGCAAGATGTGATAATTTCATTACAAAGCAACAAAAGAACTAATTGAATAACATTATTTGTAAATTATACGTACGTTGTTAATTAAATGATGACTTTGTTACATTACATGAGGGATAGAATCTATTTAGTCCAATGCTAATAGGACTTCCCTAACAATCCAGAAATTAGCCGTCACAGCCACGCCCGTTTCCCGTCACGTACAGTATGGTGACGATTATTATATAGTAACTAGAAATTAACTTTACAGTATATTGATGAACTATGCAGTAAATATGTTTGTAAAATAGGATATTCGAGAATATGTATAAAGGAAATTTCTCTCTCTGTAGCATGAGACTAACGTATTGAATATACAAATTTTTGATTACGTATTTGACTAGAATTGTACCAGTGTAAATTAAACAGAAAATGATTGCGTTCCTCGATAATGGCACAAATGCAACATTTTGCGATGTTGCGTATACGGAAATAAATACAATTAATATTATAATATATTTGAAACTGAGTTGATATATCAAATATTACTTTTTCAAATAATATCGAATTTATCGAAGATACAAAATTGCAGAAATGGAAATGCAAAAGAAATAATTTTAAGCTGCACAAACACACTTGCAATCATAACTTTAATAAATGATGAGCTAACTTCCTACTGTTGTGCACCCTTATTAGTGTGTCGCGAATAAACAGACGTATATATAGCGAGCTGTTGAAGCGTGAATCTGCATTTCCGTATCCGCGCGCATTCATATCGGTTGTACAGCCCAGTTTAGAATCGAGTCGAAAACAGAATTTCTATCTCGATAAACCGTTTCCTGGTGCACAAGAGTGGCTTTTCTAACGGAACCCGGTAAAAAGGAAAACGAACACGCGGATGTAAATTCTTAGGTACCGTACGACACGAATAAATCACCGAAAAAAACTTTCTTAGAAGTTATTCAACCCTTTTTCTCGGACGCTCAGCAAGGATAAAGGTATTTTCTCCGACTTGTGAACGAATTTCGTCTATTTTGCAGGAATATTTTTACATAAAATTTGTGTCTTTAGGGTTTTTAATAACGTGTTTATTAGTTGCAATAAATGTTTTATTAACTCCCCTTTCTCGTCCAGATTTTAGATATATTCAACATACAAATGGGCATGTTACATATTTATATATGCTTTCCTCTACTTCACCCTCGTGTACTTTTTCAAGTCTGAATTACATCCCGCTTGATAATGCGATCTATCAATCCTTTCATACATTTTATGGCGTACTTTAGAAGCAAAAACCTCACCGTCTAGCGCTGATTGGCAGCGCATCGGAAAGAACTGTCAGCGAATAAGGACTTTGCTTTTTCTTCCTTTTTTTCTCTTTCACTCTTATGGACGTTCGAGTGAACCCCGAGGTGCGATTACCATTTTATCGAGTCTGATTTGCGAGCACTTTGCACGAACCTTGTTACTGCATGGGCATTGTGAGCGAAGGGCTGCACTTACTACACATTGTCGTCACTCTCTTCAAGATTTAGTCGGACCTCGGGCGAGAAGATATATATTTGTACGTATATGTTTTATTACACGTGTGCGCTCACATAAACAGACACACTTGCCTGCAGTTTGCGTATAAAGTGTTTGTTATCGCCAAAAGTAACAATGATCAATCATGTCCGACGAAGAAAAATACAATAAGAGGTTACACGTCAAATACACGCGGTATAGAAATATACACGAATCCTCCGCAATTGATTATGGAAGCGCTCGAGTACAATGGATAAACAACGATACGCCGTTGAATTTCAATTTCGTGAATCGATCAATGTTTACCGGGGAAGAGGAAGGGGGTATCTTCTCGTTTCGGTATCACGAATTCACACGTGGTGTTTGCACGTGACGAATGTGCTCTCGGTAATGCACAAATAAATCGATTTCAATCATAAACAGCGTTGGAATCATACGAAGGAAATTTTCGGCAAACAATCATTTCATTATCATCGCAAATTAATACAAACATGTCGGTGTGTATACGCATTATTATACGCGGTAGCATTTCTAGCACACAATTCTGTTAGATGTAATTTTAACTCGTCGGTAAACACCAGATACGCCAGAAGCTCGCGCGCTTTTTTTATAGATTTTTTTAATCAATTTGGATATGACATAAATCATTTAACGTAAATCACACATTATTCAATATCGCTGTGATTAAGCTTTAAATGAAATTTTCGTCCTCAATACCGATGCAAGGAGAGCACAAAATAACGCTTTCTATTATGTATCGCGTATAAATTAAATGAATACATAAAAAGGATTTTATATATTCATTTAATTTACACGCGATATAATAGAAAGCGTTATTTAAGATTATTACATATCGTATCATTATTCAATATCGCATTTAAATTACTCTCGAAATATATTAAATTTTTGTTCTTTGTATCAATACAAAGAATAAAGAGCGAAACATTTGTTATTTATATATTCATACAATTTATATATACATCATTTTATATATTAGAATGAGATTTGTTTGGCCAATACAAATTTACAAATCTACAATTTTACGGTAGATCTCCTTTATTAAGCAACAGCATTTGTCACCTAAACACGGTAAGTAAAAGTATCTCTTTCGCGTACAACTATGCGTTAATAATAAGTTACGGTTAATGATAAGTTTCATCGTCGAAACGGGGAAAAGGAAGTACGGTACAAGTAACAATCCTATCACATCGCATTGTAAACTACGAATTTACTTGCGAACTGCGTTTCGCGGCTCTTTCAAAGACGATAGACGCTAACGAATGGCATGGAAACGAGCGCGAAGTTTAATTCCGAGGGATCTCCTTTTGTATTTTGTTGACTGTGTAACGGTAATAAAGATACGGGGCTACGCTTTAACGTTTCTTCAACCGTTCCGTCAACCGGGAGACGAACACGAATGCTTTCAACAGAGAAGTAACACAAGATCCGGGGCTGTTTTTTATGCGGAAAACGCAGCAAAACTCGCCAACGGCAATCAAGCGTAATTGCACGCGGAAATGCAAAACATAATCACCTAGTGGGTAAGACCTACATATTTTTCCGACAGCGGTCGACCAACTGGTCATGCAAGGATTCGTAATTACGTCGCGTAATTAGCAGATAACAGATAGGCAGGAGGCTATTTTGTTTTTCTTTCGCCACATGTCTAGAAAACGTGCGCCCCATCATTGGCCGCATGCCGCTTCTTTAAATCTTCCGGCATGGCGAAAAAAGAGCTGAGTAAATTTTTAAACCTGCCCTAAAGAAACGTTAGCAGAAGAAAATTGAAATAGTTTATTATATTGTTTTTTTTAATCATTTATCCCCCCTATGACTCGTCTATAATAAATTAAAAATAACAATTTTATAAAAGCAGGAATTCATACATAGGATATCATACATAATTCTAAATCAAAGAAATTTGGATAAATTTTATAACACAGTAGATTTAAAATAGAACTCGCAAATGCACATTTACAATTTCTAAAACAAAAATATAATAAGTTATACGAGTATAAAGTTTGCATTAAGAATATTATATGGAATCATATGAAAAAGCTTGTAATTAAAGCTACATAAATGCATATAAGCTTGTGCTTATATTTTCCAATTTATTTATATAATATATAATATATAATATTAAAATATAAATATTAATATATATTAAATATAAAATTTGTATACATGAATAAAAACATACACACATATGCAATTATAATGTAATATATTGTAGCTTATATACGTCTATACATATGTATGTGTATATCTAAAGCTTCGCTTTATGAGAAAGTTGTTTGTGAATATCCCAGGTAGAAGTTTACTAAATCAAATCTTCTGTAATGAGCACGACAGAGGCCGAACCGGACACAGTGATGCGAGTCGTGTCAATTCGCGATCCTGCGGACAGCTTAGAATGCACGCTGGACGCATAAGCGATCAACTGCTCTGGAATATTCATCCAAGTCCTAGCATCGGCAGTGACCGACGTGTCAGCAAAGTTAATCACGAGAGCCACGACGGATGCGCCGTGTCGTCGTATAATTCCGAGCATGTTCTCGGTGACCAACACGGTCTGCAGAGAACCTTGCTCGATAATGGGCTTCCTTTTCAATCGTGACAGCGATTTAAATACTTTGTAATGAGACCCGGCCGTGATTCTCTGCGCCGCCAAATTTAGAGTTTCGTAATTGCTGTTCACCGGAAGCCACGTTTGATTGTTAGTGGAAAAACCGGCGCTGGTACTATTGTCCCATTGAAATGGCGTTCTTTCTGGATCTCGCGATTTTAAATGATATCTGAAAACGCAATAAAGTCGACAAATTTATTGAATATATATTTAAAAATTACATCTCTATTATAAATAAATTTTGAAAGCTTTTTTTATACATATGAATCTTTAAAATATAATTCAAGTTTTTGCATAATTTCATTTAATATTCTTAATATAATTATATAACTTCATTCTTACTTTATATAAAAAATTCTATTTTTATTATATTTTTTTAAAAACGTAAATGTGCAAATTATAGTTATGCATTTATGTGTTCTATTATTATATAATCTACTGTGTTTTGAAATTCTATGCAAATTTATTTTTATTGAGTTGTGTAACAATTCTATTGCGTTATATAACAATTCATCTTTATTTGTGAAACGTACTTATTGGGTCCAGCAATGCATCCGATAGGATCCTTGGTTTCCTCATACGTAAAATTCCTGTCGAGCATGCCGATCTCGTCGCCGTTATAAATGACGCTAACGCCAGGTAAAATAGTTGCCAGCATAGAAAGTTGATCTGCCCGTTTTTCACCGAATCTGGAAGCCGCTCGATGATTATCGTGATTATCCACTACCCAGTTCGCAACGTACGCCGGATTGTTAGGTACATTGTTCATCCAACGATCGATGAGGCGTTTAAAGTCAGCGGCACTAGATTTGTCGTTTAAATCAAGAATAAACATAAAATTGAACGGCACGTTCGAACCCGATTTGTAATACAATTCGAAATCTGTGTCGGCCTCAGTCAGAATCATTTTTGTGTCAGTAGTCATCGAATGATTGTCCATCAGTTCTCTCCAAGATTTGAGAACATCATATATTTCGGCAAAATTTCTCGTGTAAATGTGATCCAGAGTCTCATAATCATCTTCCGATGAGCCGGAAATGTTTCTTCGTGGCTCGTCCAAGAAACAAGCGTCCTCAAATAAGTGGCTAATAGCATCGATGCGAAAACCATCTACACCTCGATTCAACCAGAAATTCAGTACATTCTTCATTTCTTGCTGCAATGCGGCGCTACGATAATTGAGGTCCGCTTGAGGAATGTTGAATTGATGCAGGTAATATTGTTTCCGTGCCTCGTTCCATTCCCAAGCGGAGCCTCGAACAACACTCAGCCAGTTATTCGGTGGCTTTCTAATGCCGTTTACTATTTTCGCGTCACGCCAGACATAATACTCGTCATAGGGCTTGATGCGTTGGACACTCTTCTTGAACCATTCGTGCTCGTGAGAGCTGTGATTCGGCACGAAATCGAGAATTACTTTCAACCCGAGGAATTTCGCCTTCGCCACGAGCTTGTCGAAATCGGCCAAGGTACCGTAGTTCTCGTCGACGTCGGTGTAATTAGCGACGTCATACCCGAAATCAAACTGCGGACTGGTATAGATCGGCGACAGCCATAATGCATCCGCGCCGAGGTCCGCGATGTGTTCCAACTTGCTCGTGATGCCATTCAGATCGCCTATGCCGTCCCCATTACTGTCCTTGAAGCTTCTCGGATAGACGTGATACACCAGACTGTTTTTATACCAATTTTTGCCCGTTTTTTTAATCGATATCGAGGTAGTTAGAGCAATCAACACCGTAATGAAAATATACAGGCGAAGCATAATGACTAATACAATTATTGATTTCGATGCGCTTTTATACTGTATGAGAAATTCTGAAAAATGTTTAACGACATAGAGAAAAAAGAGAGAGAAAAGAGAGAGATATTATACATTGGAATATCATAATTTTTAATTGATAAACTCGTATCTCGATTAATCAATTGATATTCTTTTATCTAAATTCAAAACTTTAATTGATAACGATAACTCATTTTTGTAGAATGATGTTATTGATATTTTATATGTATGTATATGTGTGTATAAAATACATGCATGTATAAAAAATATATATTCTTTTTAATTGTGATAATTAATCAGTAGATAATATTTTCAGATAATATTTCTAAAATAATAAAAATAATATGAAACCATATATATATATATATATATTTTGTTTTCATATAATCATTGTTTTCATATTCTAGAGAAATATTATCTGGAAATATTATCTATAGTGATAATTATCACGATTATATAAGAATATTTTTGCATTATTATCACCTTTGCAGTTCCACACAGTAACGATTAAAAAGAATAGATTACATCCAGAAATAAGAAATAAAAAAAATTAATTAAAATAATGTACTGTGTATTAAACAAAAGTAAAAATAAAAAAAACTTATATTAAAATAGAAATAAAAGAATAAGCGGTAAATTTTATTAAAATTAAAAAGCAATCAAGAATCAATTACACAATATAAAAAATCATCTATTTCTTTCAATTCAGATAATTTATTTCGAATAAAAATATTTATTTGTATGTATAAATACACAGACGAATAAGCTCATAATTAATTTTGAATACACAATAATTAATGACGAATAAAATTAGCCAGTCAGCGGAAGATATAAATGAAACAAGAAAATTTCGATTTTACTTCGAGTGTCTATTTCTCAACACAGATTAATACAAGACGCTCGTCGAGAAAGTGACTTGTACATACATTTACACACATGTATAACTGAAACTTCGCTTTAGTAGAGAGTTATCCACGAGTATGAGATAAGCAGGAATTTGCTAAACCAAATCTGCTGTGGTGAGCACGACGGAGGCCGAGCCAGGCACGGTAATGTTAGTCGTGTCAACGCGCGATCCTACAACTAGGTTGGAGTGCACGCTAGGTGCATAGACGATCAACTGCTCCGGGATATTCATCCAAGTCCTGGCGTCAACGGTGACCGGTGTGTCGGCAAAGTTAACCAGGAGAGCTACAACGGTTGTGTTATGTCGTCGTACGACTCCTAGAATTTTTTCTGTTACCAACACGATCTCTAGAGAGCCTTGCTCGATGACGGGTTTCTTCTTCAATTGCCCCAGGGACTTGAACACTTTGTAGTGAGACACGGCCGACAGTTGTTGGACCGCTAAATTCAGAATTTTATAATTGCTGTTCACCGGAAGCCACGTTTCATTGCTCGTAGAGAAACCAGCACTAGTGCTGCTGTCCCACTGGAAAGGCGTTCTTTCCGGATCTCGCGACTTCAAGTAGTATCTAAAATAATTGTGATAATGAATTAAATTATTTAATGCTTGTATAAAAAGATTGTTTTACAAATTTAATTAATAGAGTTTAAAATCAAATATTGAATGTAACATTTTTTTTAAGAAAATTATTTTTAAATTTATTTTTTAAATTAAAATAGGTAATACGTACATATGTATTTAACACACGCAATATCATGGAAAAAATCAATTTCATTCTAAAATAATTACACTCTGACCAAATTCTAAGGTAATTAAGTTAATTAAATTGCTATCAATAACTTAATTTATATACAAATCTGAATAACAATCTGAATACATACATAAATTAATAAGAACTCTGAATAATAATAGTATTGTACTGAATAATAACGTATGTACCGAATAATAATAATTTTTGATTTAATTTCATAATAATTAATAAATTTGAAATCGATTTTCTATTATATTACTGTATTCAGAATTAATATTACAATATATACAAAAAAATGAATCGCAAATACAAAAATGCATATTTATGGATTCCGTTTCAAATTTGCTACAATATTACGTAATACAATTCAGATTTATCTGTGCTCGTGTTAGTACCTGTCGGGTCCAGCGTTGCATCCGGCGGGATCCTTGGTTTCTTCATACGTAAAATCTCTGTCGGGCATGCCGATCTCGTCACCATTGTAAATCACGCTTACGCCGGGTAAAACGATCGCCAGCATAGAAAGTTGATCGGCCCGTTTCTCACCGAATCTAGAAGCCGCGCGATGATTATCGTGATTACCCACCACCCAGTTCGCAACGTACGCAGGATTGTCAGGTATATTATTCATCCAGCGATCGATGAGGCGCTTGAAATCAGCCGCGTTAGACTTATCGTTTAGATCAGAAATAAACATGAAGTTGAATGGAACAGTCGAGCCCGATGTATAGTATAATATAGTGAGATCGAAATCCGTGTAGGCCTCGGTGAGGATCATCTTTGTGTCGGCAGTCAGGGAATGATTGTCCATTAGCTGTCTCCAAGACTTGAGAACTTCGTAAGTCTCGAGAAGATTCTTCGTATAAAGATGGTCCAAGGTTTCGTAGTCATCGTCTGGTAATCCAGGTGTATCTAATCGGGGCTCGTCCAGAAAGCGGGCATCCTCGTACATGTGATTGATGGCGTCGATGCGAAAGCCTTCCACGCCACGATCCATCCAGAATGTTAACACGTTCCTCATCTCTTCTTGCAATGCAGTGCTGTGATAGTTGAGATCCGGCTGTCCGGTGGCGAACTGATGCAGATAATATTGATTGCGTACCTCGTTCCATTTCCAAGCGGAGCCTTGGAAGACGCTCAACCAGTTATTCGGGGGTTGCCTGGTGCCGTTTACTATTTTTGCATCACGCCAGACATAATACTCGTCGTAAGGTGCGATCCGTTGGACGCTCTTCTTGAACCATTCGTGCTCATCAGAGCTGTGATTCGGCACGAAATCAAGAAGCACTTTCAGCCCGAGGGACTTTGCTTTCGCCACAAGTCTGTCAAAGTCAGCTAAGGTACCATACTCTGGATTGATATCGGTAAAATTGGCAACGTCATAGCCAAAATCTGCTTGCGGGCTGGTATAGATCGGTGATAACCACAACGCGTCGGCGCCAATATTCGCGATATGTTCTAATTTGCTGGTGATACCGTTCAAATCACCTATGCCATCTCCATTACTGTCCTTGTAACTTCTCGGATAAATCTGATATATCAGACTGTTCTTGTACCAATCTTTACCGGCTTTCTGAATCGAGACCGAGCCGGTCAAAACGATCAACGAAGCTGCAACAATGATGCACAAGCGAAGCATGATGACTGTTTGCCTCGGTTGATTATTCCTCGCTTTTATATTATGAACTTTAAAAAATGTCACGCACAATCTCTCAACAGATAGATACTGTTATCGCTTTGACATTTGATTAATTTGCTTTCAGTAATCGATACTAAGATCGATACACAAATTTTTTGTTATCGTATTAGTATATCAAATAACATTGAATAATTTCTCATACCGTTTTATTTTTATATTATCGAGTAAGACCGTGATAATTATTCAGAGGTTACTGTTTTACATATTTTAACAGCAATGATTAGAAACGAATATAAATTTAAAAATCGTGACTATTATCGTATCGAGCACAAACGTTCAACAACTTGTTTATCTGTTATTTACTACATGTGAAATATTTCATTGCCATGTTGTTTGTTTAATCTAAAAACAAAGATAAGTTGATATAACATATCTCAAGTAATCGTCGTGTTTGAACGTAATTGAAAATAATCGGTACGCGAAATATTTTCCATAAAACGTTTCACAAAACATTTCACGTGTGTTTTGCGATACACCGTTGATAACCCAATTTCGTATTTTAGATTTCAAAATAGTAGTACGCCACGAGATTTCACCAAAATCCCCGCGGCGAAACGCGCTGACATGTGCATCGACATGTGCGAGAATCGATTTCGCTGGGCACTTTGGAAATTCGCGAAACCGTACACAGCCAGATGCGCATTATTATAACTCGGTCTTAGACAGAAAGAGATTTGCAGTTTCCTGCGAAAAGCGCCGACCTCGCAACACCGCGCACCAGTTATAACGTCGGCTTGCGGCGGGCGATAAGATTTTTCGACCCTCGGTCGTTTGAAAAATGGCGAACATCTAGAGCCGCACCATCTCGCGTGAGCAAGGCGTTTATGCGTGTTGGCCTCGTAACTGCTATCGCGTCCTATGCCTAATTATACAGGTGGTTCGCCACCCTTTCCTCTCCCGATGCATTTCTTTTACGGCATCGTCGCGGGGGTCAATTTAATCTTTGCAACGGGCGTCGAGCTCTCTACCGAGAATAAATTTGCTATTACCGCGAAATATCGTGAACATCGTTGCAAAAATTTTTTTTCCACGTCGAAGATCATTTTTCATTAGCCTAGGTGTGTTGAGTATTCAAGACCGATATGAGAGAATTTCGCTTCTACCTCGAAAATTCAATGGCAATCCTTTGAAGTAAACTATTCGTTCTGTAATATAATAAAGTGCCATCATTTTTTCGGGCAAAAGTTGTATCATAAAGGATGCGGTAAAAATCAGCCTGGCGATGCAATCGGCGAGAGAATAATTTCCGCGGAAAGAAAAAAGGGAAATAAATCGAGAGGTTACGAAGCACACAATACTTTTTCGTTACATAAATCGATCGCGGCCTCGATTCATAAAATGATATTATTATTTATGCGATGGTCTCTCTTCGATACAATGCGCAGTTTTTTTCGCATTCTCATACCGCGAAAAGTACATCAATAGAAAGTTTTACCTTCTTTATACAGAATATGACACACATTGTTGCACACGAAACTCGAATGGTCTTATGACTAAAGTTACATAATAATTCTTGCTATGAATATATCTGCCATCTGCCTTTTTACATGTCTCTTTGGAAAATTGTCTGATAAATGGAAAAAGTCTTGATAGAAACAGCCCTTTATATCTCTCTACTCTCCTTTGCTCTTATTCTCGGCTCTGTCGGATACCTGGGAAACATTCACTCCGGAAAAGCGGCTTGCACTTTGCGATTCTTTGATGTGTTCCATAGCAACGTTCGCGTTTGAAGTAAAATGCTAGTGTTATATCTCAATGAAAAAAATGCATATCTATTTTTTCAATGCAATATAAACATAATTTCATCTGTCGATCAGTCGAGATCAGTGAAACGAGAGATGAAGAGTTATCATTGTAAAAAGAAAATTAAGTACAAAGATTGCTAATGCTCGGTTGTATAAAGAATGATTATTTCAACCATTTCTCTGCATTAAACAGACACTTTCTAGTAGAGACAATAATACGAGAAAGGAGAGTGTAAGCTTATCTATGCAGGATAAATTATCTGTAAATCCGACTAATAGAGATGTAAGTTTCTATAATCGCGTTTAGATGTTTTCAGGGAAACCGTACTTCATCCTAATCACATAAAAATCGGATAACATCACGACCAAATAAGAGCATTAAAACAAGCAGGAGAAATCGTACAAGTTGTGCGGACGGTGAAAAATAAAGCGACAACGTGTAAATTGGCCGCGGATTAAAAGCACAGAGACTTTAAAGAACATAACCGACAAAAACGCTTTGCGTTTTACGGAATAATTTACGGTTACGAATGCAGCGAGGTGGTCGGAAAATATTACCGTCAGCAAAAATTCTCATACGGCTCACCACGGCTGTGAAGTCTCCGGGTGTTATTTATACGGGTAATTTTCTTCATGGCTTATGGCCAACTTAATTCATTCATTATCCAGACAGACGATAAAGACAATTTTGCTGAGATGATGCATCATTCTTATTAATGGCATTATTTCCACTGTTGACTGTCACTGGCATAAATTTAACATAGATTTTATTTTATCTCTTATAATATATATAATATTTAATTAGGATATTATTATATAATTTCCACTAGTAAATTTTGGAAATATATATTGGCATATTTTTATTATTTTTATTCTTATCAGACACATGTACACATATCTCATGATAGAATTTATTACGTTATTTTCACACAATTTAAATTAAAAATATAGGTATATATTTATAAATACAGAATATATATGTCAATATATTTTCATCGCAAAAATATTCTTGTGCGCGTATTAATAGTGTTTTCATTATACAATGTTATTGTTATAAAATGCTTGATTACAAATTTATTATTGTAAAGAATAGGTCATTTGTAACACAAAATAAATCTTGTTAGGAAATACGTAACATTAATAGTATATTAATGTTTATTTCCTAATAAGATTTATTTTGTGTTACAAATGACGTATTCTTTACAATATAATAAATTTGTAATGAAAACACTATTAATACGCGCACAAGAATATTTTTGCGACGAGAATTCATTGAAATATGTAAAACATTCTGTATTTATAAATATATAGGTATACCTCTTACTAAATGCATTCGATAAAGAGAAATGCGTACCTACAATTTCCGAAATAAATAAAAGGTTTTATGATGCAAATTATGACACGCGTCAAGTTACGAATTAATGAAAGGAAATCAGAACACGATCATTTCCCCCGATCTCAAAAATAGTGCCCGCTCGCAATCGCGTCCTCTCGTGACGGGAGCCAATTTCCGTCGCGCGCGCGCGCGCGCGCGTTGTTATCATCTAATTAAAGCTGACCCGTGTGACCAGACGTACGCTTGATTTTCCGCGTAGTTTTCGAACGCGGTGACACGGCATTAAGTCAATTTTCGCCGCGAGAAAGGTCTTGACGATACGCGATCGCTCCGATGGACCGACGAACGTAAGCAGGGAGTTTGGAGTAACGAGGCTACCTTATGTCAGTTACTCTCGACGGCGCGATGGGGTAAGCAAACAACCCTTCTCGCAGTTTACGGCAGTAATTAACTTCCCAGGTTATTAGCCCTCGTTCGTGGCTGCGGCGTGTGCTGCTCCAGGACACGGACCTTCGGCCGAGAGTCCAACGAGAGTCTCCGTCCGGCCACATCGGCAAGTTTATCTCGTAAACTCTTGCGAAGAAATGTTTTTAGAAGTTGCTGAAAGTCCGAAGCGCGCGGAAGTCGTCGTATAATCACTCGGCGTTAGAGGAAGAAAAGAAGTGCCGGAAAAATACTTGCGCGACTGCAAATAACAAATATCTGTTGTACTCTTGAAACTCTGGGTTAGATCGCGAGATATATCCGCGTCATTTGGTAGAAATCATGTTACATTGGCAAATTTTCTTGAAATTGAAACGGTGTATCTGTATACGCAAAAAAGTTTTCGGTGTCAATAGAAGGCTCTCGGATCTTATCTAAAAGTATAGTGTGTCTCCTTTCCTTCGGCATCTGTTGCGTCTCTCAGACAATCGTCGACATGTAACACATTCTTCTAAAATTCATGACATTCCTTCCATTTGCAGCGCGAACTTTCGTATCTAGATTTCACCGAAGAATACTCCCCACCGTCTAACTTTGAATAAACTCGAAGTGAAACTACCCGAACATTTTAGCATAACTTAAAGGAATATAAAAAAACTATTAATCTCGGCTCGAATTATTGTGTTACAATAAAAATAAAATCTCGACGGCAATCGGAGCCTATGCGGATGACATGCACAAAATTAATAAATTAAAATGAGATCTCAAGTCAAACTCATTTATTAAATTCTAAACGTTTCGACCCACTTCGGGTCTTCTTCAGTAGCTGCAAAATACAAAGAAACAAAAATAGAAGATAATCGGTACAATCAGAAAATTATAAAACTCGTATACATACAATCCGCAAATAAATTAAAAATCATTCTCCTCCCTATTCAAACCGTCCGGCCGTCGGAGTGTCTCCCTAACGGTGACCATCGTCAGGAAGGAAGCGGAGCAGTGACTCCCTACCAACACTAATCAACATGGTATAAATTAAACGTAGAACAATTCACAAGAATTAAAAATTAAGAACCGGGAAGAACACTCACCCCGACAGCAAAAACAGAGAGAAGACGATGCTACACGTGACACATCACTCTAACGACTGTGCGGTATTCTACCTCGACACAGTCGATACATATATACGCAAAAAACAAATATAAAAATAAAATATGAAAATAAAAATAAAAATAAAAACAACTAAACTAATCGGCACTCATGTCAAAAGTCTAACAAAAAACCCGGTTATGTAAAATCACAAAGCTAGATTTTGGTAAATTTTTCTATTAACAGATCAAGATTCTCGTTTAATTTATCAGTGTCGCTATGTAAATTTAAACTATTCCTCTGACGTTTTATGTGGATCATTTCGGATATCAAACGTTTACCTAAAAAAGGCTCCTCGTCTAAGACTTTTACATCCTCCCAAT